GAGATCATTGAGTATATTGATTCCGATTATGTTGGATACCAAGATACTATGAAGTCGACGTCAGACTATATTTATTTGTTAGTTGGGGGTGTCATATCTTGAAAGAGTGCTAAACAGTTTCTTATAACATCTTCTACTATGACTGTCGAATTTACAGTTTGTTATGAGGTATCCAATTATGAAATTTGGTTGCAAATTTGTCACAAAATTATGTGTATTGGATAGTATAGAAAGGCCATTCAAATTATTTTGTGATAATAAGTCAGCAGTCCTATATTCCAATAACAACAGGAACTCGACAAAATCTAAACATATAGATATCAAATTCCTGACTGTTAAAGAAAGAGTACAGAGTGGACAGTTATCGATAGAGCATATCAAAACACACTCCATGGTTGCGGATCCGCTTACTAAGGAATTGTATCCAAAATATTTCATGAGCATGCTGCTCGTATGGGTATCATGTTATTAAATGATGTACAGTTTTAATGAGAATTTGTTATTTTAAATGCTTTTATAATACTTTTCGATTATTAATGATTTAAGAATATTTTATACATAGATAAAATTTGGATTTATTTATACTCTGATTTTGGTATGATTTAATCTTATGAAAATTTAAGGTGGAGTAGTTGAAAATAGGCATGTTATGATCACATTACATGAAATTTTCATACTATACATCCACATCATGGTTTATGTCATTTAATTATATCAATATATATGACCATTGATAGGTCGAGTTACGAAATTGTAACAAAGGCTACTTTGATCCTATGTTGATATAATTGATGGACCGAATTGGCTATAAATACATTTTGATAATGACAGTAAAGTTGAGTTCATACGGTTAATTACAAAATATAATTATAAGGTTACACATATAATCCAAATGGGAGATTATTAGATCCTTAATCCAATGCTGGACTTATATGTGAATAATTATATATTGCAAACTGCTAAATAAGATTAAGTCCAATTAAAGTGATCAAATATGACTTAAATTTAATGTATCTAATAGGGTGTGGGCCTTTAATGTGTATGGATTTAAGGATATTTCCTATTTCTATGATGAGATGAAATAGAAATCCAAAAGGTAATAGGAATGTTACCTATAAATAGGGTTATGGTCCCCAAATCACACGTATTCTGATTGTCATATTTTCTAGTACTATAAAATAACTCTTCCCTGATATTCCATCGTCAGGAAAGATACCAAAGAGAAACTAAAGGACTCTCTCAAGGATTGGTAAATACGTGTTGATGTGGAAAATCATCCCAAAATTTTCAAGGATTCAAGTGCCAGTTTGTCAACATGAATTCAAGTACACTTCCGCATTTATATTATAATTATATTCAAATATCTGATATTGGAATTCTGAAAATTTCTTACAGAGCTGATCATGAATGTTATCATTTATTGATTTCATGATTGAGTTTCGCTGTCTACCCATTCTGCAGCGCAATTGTGATAAGGTGTTGAAGACTTTTACCTGTTTTCTTCTGCTTTGTGAATCGAAAGCTTATGTAGCAGCAGTATGAGCTCTTCATACCTGAACAGTTAGCCTTAAAAAGCCTAAGCCTAACTATAAGAATCTTGTCAACTGTCTTTCATTAGAGAACAAATTGGTTCTGTTAAATGGCTTCTATTACAAACACAAAGGGATCTGTTTTGTATATATATACACTTTGCACTGTGCAATGGAATATCTTAAAGGGTAAAATACAAGAAACCCCCTTGTGATTTCACGAAAAGACACCTTATCCTCCTATTGTTTAGAAACCTGCACATAAACACCATAAACTTCATAATTAAAGTGGAAATTGACCTTTAACCAGATGTGTAGGTCGAATATCAGGTAACAAGGCATGCTGAAAACTGGACCTGTGAACATCTCCTAGGATCCAATTGAGGATCATTAAAGACCCTCGCTTCCTGCAGAACAACACCCTTCTCGATCCCCATGAATGGAGAGTAATCCACTACAGATTAAAGAATCGAAATTACAACATCACATTTCATTGACTGCTAAACTCAGGCAAGGTTCAAACAAATTCCCAAGGCTAAAGCAGATTTGAGCCAAAATTAACCGATCTCATCGAAATTAATGTAGTGAAGAACTAACCCAGGGCTACAAATACAAATATTAAATAAATCCGCAGGACCAGTATTTCAACTTCTGCTAATTCCTTTTTTTTGTCTTTTTGCTTTTTAAGTGGGCACAGGTTTTGGATAAAGTGTTCGATCCGTGTGTCTTCTGGTTTTTAAAAATCTACAACTTCCAGAAAATGGTATATATGGAATTTCATTGACTAAATTTGCTTGCCATATATGGAAATTGAACTGGTTATGTATTTTAGCAATTTTTCACCTAAGGATCCATTCAATGACAGACATGGTAAAGCTAATGGTGTGAAGAAAAAGAACGAGTTGCGATTGGAGTAGACAAATACATATTGACAAGAAACGAGCTTTGTCAAGAAAATTGGTGCTGATAATCACTTGAATGCAGATGTCAAAAAGAAATGTTTGCCAAGCTTGAGAAGATTGAAAATAAGAGATTGCAGCTGTTACGGACTTCGAATCTGAGGAGAAGAAATTGCAGTGAGGCTTGTTAAAACAGAGACCCAATGCTTCAGGTCTGTAGGAACAACATTGATGAAAAAAGGAATAAGGTATCGCAAGATTTTCCATCCAAATTTTTTATTCTGAGTTTGAATACCCTTTAGAACACTCTGCAACATGAGACGACCTTTAGTAGTGAAGACATACCTTTCATTGCTCAGAAACGGGGGAGTTGAGTTCTGGAAGTTTCATTCAAGCGGAAAAGATATAGTAGAAAGCTGTATGGCAGAATCCGATTCAGAGCAAATTTGCTTTGGTGGTGTCGCATGCTGCTAATACTATTGCAAGACTGGAGAAAGGAGGAGTGTTGCGGATCTCTTCGCTTCTGCCTTCTCTCTCTTATGTATGCTTATATCGGGTGGGAGAGTGAAGTCGAATCGCAGATATCTCTTTGGTCGACGTCGTACAAATTAGTTTCCCTAGACAGTAACTTTTTTTTTCTTTTTTGTGAAGGAATTGGACAGCCTGCCAGGGTATTTGACCTGCTACCGGTAACTAAGCCGGTTCAGAAGGTAATTTCCACTTTAGTTATGAAGTTTAAGGTATTTATGTGCAGGTTTTTAAACGATAGGGGGTAAGGTGTCATTTTGCGAAACCACAAGGGGGTTCCTTGTATTTTACCCTATCTTAAATTATCTATTCGTATGATCGAAATTTAAGGTTATAAATCATGAGAGAAAAGCAAAAGAAAGAAATCCAGTTGGCGATTGCACAAAAATGATTTCATTTTGACAGTATAGAGATTTAAAGAAATGGCCTACTCACCAAGTGGCAAACTAATTTTTGTTTCCTTTTTTTTCGTTTCAACCAAGATTGATTTAAATTTATGTACGTCTTTGCGAAGTTTCCTGAACTTTATTATGATTGATAAGAGTTGCCATCAATTGAATTGATACTTTAGTGATGAAAAACTTTCAAGTATTTTTCCACGCAACAGGTCTTCTGTTTCACTTTCTATGACATTTTTTGTCTCACATTTTACTATATTAATATTTCTCCTTTATATTTTAGTTTCTTTTTATTTTCTTAATATCCAATAACTATTAATTGAATAATACATAAAATTTAATAATTTTGAAAAATCAAAATGCATAAAAAATGAGATTTTTAATGAATTTTTTGTTGTATTTTTTTAATTTTCTATCATATATTACTTTTTTTAAACTATTGTATTTATTTTTTGTTCAGTTAATAGTTATTGGATTTTAAGAAAATAAAAAAGAACTAAAATATGATGTTTATGAAGGAGAAATAGTAATATGATAAAAAGTGGGATAGACAGTGGCACAGGAAATGGGACAGAAGATTCGTTGCGATTTTTCGACCACTTTAAAATTCAAATACTTAGGAAAAAAAATTATGGGAAAGTAAAGTTTTTTGAAAAGTTAACTTTAAAATTAGAGGAAACTTTTGGAGACACACAAAAGTGTCTATAAATCAGGCTAAGAAATAATCAAAATATTTTGGGTAAAACAGTAAGGATGTCCCCACGCCCTCGCCCCCGCCCCCGCCCCATCCCCCATCCCCCGCCCCGCCCCGCTTCCCCTGTGGGGCTAATTAAGATTTGTTATATAATTTTATTATAGTTAAATTTTAGCAAATAATTAAGTATTAAAATATCGACACCCGTGGGGCTAATTAAAATTTGTTATATAATTTTATTATAGTTAAATTTTAGCAAATAATCAAGTACTAAAATATCGACACATCACCAAATTATTATTTATTGTAATTTCATAATTGAAACTTATAAAAATAATTAAACAAAAGTTATTTTAATACAATCCAACATGATGAAATAAATACAACTAAAGTAGTCAAGTTTTCACTTTTAGTACAAATATAATCACCAATTCATTATTGTGCTTGTGATTTTTTTTTTGAGAAAAAAATGTTATTGTATTAAGTGTAATTAGGGATTTAGTATAAATGTATTAGTAAATTTAGTGTAACTAATTAATAATTTCTATTAGTAGTTATATATAATTATTAGTATAATTGATAATATCAATTATATTACATATACTAATATACATTAAATAATACATATAACTAATAATATCATTATCATAAATTTATAACTAATTAAATTAAATATTATATATATAATTATATACATATATATATTTATATATTTACTTTTTTTAAGCGAGTGACGGGACGGGGATGGGGTGGGGAGCCGCTCCGTTTCTAAATGGGTGAAAAAAAAATCCCCCACCCCTTCCCGCGGCCCCAATAGCCCACCGCGGGGCGGGTGGCCGGATCTTTATTAGGCATGAAGTTAAAAAAAAAAAAAAAGGTTTTCAAGAACATCCGGGGCTTATCTGCAATAACGATATAGTACTCCTCCAAACTGTCCTCCCAAGCGGATTTAATTTGACTACTAATTCATGAAATATCCAAAAAAATATCCATTCCCTTAGGCCTTAGCAAATTCTCCTAAAACCCACTATTAAGCCCTGCGTATTGATGGAAATGGGGGGAGTTTTGAAGCTAAACGCTTAAATTCAGGTAGAAAGTAAGAAATTCAGAAAGAATAGAATGCCTGCCTGAATGCTGAAGCTGTCAGGATGATGATGTTTCTCAAACCTTCCACGTCAATTTCAGTTCCTTCCTCTTCCTTGTGGAGGTTTGTGTCCTTAAATCTTTTTTTTTTAAATCTTATTCTTTCTGCTGTAATCTTATCTGGGGATTTCTTTTTCCCTCTTTTTTAGCTGAATGATCGTAAAAATTTTTGTCTTTGCTAAATGTACTAAATAACTTGAGTAAAGAATTTAGTCCAATTCTTAGAGCTGAAACATGGGGTTGTAGCTTTATATATGATGTTTTACCTACAAGAAATTATGGCCTAAATAGAACAATAGGATAAGACTCTTGTTTAGTTATTCCCTTGGTTATTTTATTAGCTTTTCTATTTTTGATTTCTGGGCTTTTGGTGTTAATTATAGAATGGTAGTAAAGATTCTTGAAGTGTGTTAAAATAGGGACTTTTACTGGTAGTCACCTTAATGGTATTCCGTGAAGGTTGGTTGTCTTAATTATTGCTTCGTTTAAATTTCTGTTCGCTTCTTGCCATTGATATTACACGAGTATATTGCTTGCAAAAGTTGGGCTAAGAGATGATTATTTGTTGTTTCTGTAGTGGCAATTCAAGTAGTAATGGTAATTTTATGGATGGCAATCTTAAGATATGTAAAAGAGCTGAGGTGGTATGCCTCGGCATGTTGGCACCGAGGAAGTTTATGCAAAAGAGGAAGAAAGTTGAGTATTTTAAAGATGCCCATGATGAAGCAGATCAGAAGAGCTGGAGGAGACTGATGAACCAAATTGAGGAGGAGGGTTCTGCTGTTTCAGTGCTCAAAAACCATAGGCTGAAGAATGAGTCTCTTCCCAAAGACTTGGTTCTTGGAACTTTAGTAAGATTCAAGCAGCTCAAGAAATGGAACCTTGTTGCTGAGGTATGTGATTGTTTCTGCTGTACATATATTTCAGTGCTTAGGTTTTGTTATTTTTCTAAAGTTAGAAGAATATGAAGTAATATGGTTTCTGTGGCTGTTAGATTCCATGAGAAGGTTGTGAAAGATAGTATTCATTGGGTTAAAGAGATACAGACTATAGAGAGATAGAGACCTGAGTGAGGTTTTTTCATTAAATTAAGACATATGAAAATTGTTGTTCTAATTGATGAATCTTCTGGCTTGAAATTTTGAACTAGTTTCAAGACATTTAACTTCTCTCGACCATTTTGCAAAATCATTAATGAGTGTTCACCTAGCTTCATCACCACATTTTTGGCACAAACTTGGAGGTTTCAAAAGCTACATGATTGGATTTATGCTTAAAATTAACCTGCTGATGAATAGATGTAATACCTGAGAGCACCTGACCATTATCTCATTTGAAAATTATTTTTGGCTGCAGTTTATCTGTTACTGTATTTATTGGTTTTGATTGAGTAATCTTCACTTAAAATTATTTACTTTGTTCTCCTTGTTGAGCATATGCATGTTTGGGTTGACTTGATTGATTTTTGTAATTTTCAAATGTGTTTTTGATGGATTGTTATGTGATAAACCTTTTGACTAGGTGCTTGAATGGCTTCGAACAGAGCACTGGTGGGACTTTAATGAAATGGATTTTTTGATGCTAATTACAGCATATGGAAAACTTGGGGACTTTGTTAAATCAGAGAGGATTCTAAGCTACATGAACAGAAAAGCATATCCACCAAGTGTGATATCCCATACTGCCCTCATGGAAGCGTATGGCAAAGGTGGACAATATAACAAGGCTGAAGCAATATTTCGGAAGATGCAGTCTACAGGCCCTGAACCTTCTGCTTTAACATATCAGATAATCCTTAAAACCTTTGTTGAGGTATAGCTGCATTTTCTTTTATCTCTTAATTGTTCAGACACTTTGCAGCTTTTATCATAACTAATGTAAATGAACACTTGTAGGACTGTTTATCATGTTCTTACTATTATAGAAAGATCTAGCTCCCACTCCCAAATTATGCATGAATTAGCATAATACATTAGGAAACTTAATCTTCCTGCTTATTAAACTGGTTAATGAAGTGGCTTCTTGGGTAGCTCTTTGGACTTAAGGAAATGCTTTCTCTGTTAGAGCAGTTTCATAGTTTCTTTGAGTTCTCAGTTCCAAGTTGTTCTTTGTCGTAAAAGATCTTTATTATGGCTTTAAAACCTTAAGTGGATTTAAGTTACTCTGATGATAAGTAATTAAAAGAAATCAATTTATTTTGACAGGCAGATTCGTGCATGAGTGAGATGTAAATACTTTGTAACTTTAAGTGATCCTGACTCTCTGAGAGAAAATTGAAGCTGAATTATTTTAAAGACCACAGGTATGAGGGAGGTTATGAGTGGCCAGTGGGGAAAATCATAAACCTTTTTGGGCAAGATTTGAAAAGCTTATGAATTACATGAAAAGGATAATTCGTCAACAAATTTTGTTACTGGAGGGATTTTAGAGTTGTAAAAGTAAAACAAGTGAGAAGCAAGATATTGGCTTCTTTTGCATGATTTCTTCAACGTGCCATGTAAACACATTTCTTGTTCAATCTGGAAGGATGGAGGGAAAAGTGAGGAGTTAATACATGATTATGATGTGGGCCTGAAGTTTCCAGGTTGAAACAACAAAGCATGTCTAGAATGCGGGTTGCCTAGCAACATTGTGATGCAAAATGATTAATCATTTGGGTGCATGTTGACTTAGTTATAGCTTGTCCAATTCATTTCATGTCTAAAGTGTTCTACCCTGTTTGTACTAATCTAAATGGAGTTTGAGGCATATCTATAGATACCTGCTTCTTTAAATGAGAGAGCTGTAACAATTTTGATGCATCAACCAGTCAATTTTTGCTGCTTATGGCTTACTTTTTGTCTAACTTTTTGTACATATTGCAGTTGATGAATGTTCCATTGAATTCAGTGATATCATGACAGACACACTAAAAAATCAAAATTCATTATATTTTTTCCCCTAAATTTTCTATTTGATTAGCTACTCAACTTCTACCAGTTTTTAGTTCCTGTGTGTGTTCATTTGCCTTTGATTGCTTTTCAGTTTAGTTGACAATGAATGACAGATCCTGCTAGTGCATAGTTATCGTGCCTACTTGTACCTACTATGGGTGCTTGTACTCCTTCACCATCCTGTGCATACTACAGGCTGACAGATTCAAAGAAGCTGAAGAAATCTTTGAATCTCTTCTAAGCAAGGATGCTTCACCTCTGAAACCTGATCAGAAGATGTTCCACATGATGATTTACATGTACAAGAAAGCAGGAAATTATGATAAAGCTCGTCAATTATTTTCTCTGATGGCTGAGCGAGGAGTTAAGCAAACAACAGTTACGTATAATAGCTTAATGTCATTTGAGACTAACTACAAGGAGGTTTCAAAAATCTATGACCAGGTAAATGTTAAAGCATCTATAAATAAATAAATTATTATATATGTGTGTGTGTGTGTGTTTTGGAGAAACAAATTTCTTTAGTTAAATTCTGTTCTGGTAATGCTTGTATATGATTTTGCAGCTAATCAGCTGTCTAATTTGTGCTTCTGGATTTTCTCATTTAGCCATAATGCTACTCTATTTTCTTCAGAGGGAAGCTGTGGAAATTTATGTAGCACTACCTTTTGCCTTTCTCTATTTCTTTTTTTTTTTCCCTTGATGAAGAAAAGTTTTATTGATAGGACAAATTCGGAAGACTGTATAACCTTTGTGTATGTATTTGTTATTTCTACTTGCACTTTGGTGCTTGCTTATGGATACATGCACAGCATTTGCCATCTGGTCTTCCTAAGGCTTTACTATATATGTAATTTGTATTACTTTTGTTTCCATTGATTTGCATTTATCTGAGGTTTGAAGTAAATGCTTAATTTTAGATGCAACGGGCCAAAGTTCAGCCTGATGTTATAAGCTATGCTTTACTCATTAAAGCATATGGAAAAGCTAGAAGAGAAGAAGAGGCATTAGCTGTTTTTGAAGAGATGCTTGATGCAGGTGTCAGGTTTGTAATTGCTTTCTTGCAGATTTTTGTCAAAATCAGAAATTTTTTTTGTGCATTAAACTGGTTTCTTTAATTTAAATTTTTTCCACTCAAGCTTTTATGCATCAGTTTTTGAAGGCTATTGCATGCAGAAAAGTTGTGGTTTCTGAACTTACCAGTATTTTGTTGCAATGAATGAGTACATTGCTCAAGTGGATGCTCGCCCTTGGGTTTTCTTTAGAACTTATTATAGTTCAGGCATGACACAATAAATAACTCATAATAATTATGTGTATGGGAGGCTTTTGTAATTTAGAAACGTAACCAATTTTTGGAAGTTGCTTTAGGATAAGATTGACTCTGCAATTTGCTTAACTATGCAGAGAAACCCTTATTCTATCAATATAATACCAATGAACCAACTGATGCTCCAATTGTTTAGTTGTAAAGACTGGAAAAGACACGTGTAACGCCTTGACAGTCTGTTTTGATAATCTTGAAAAATTATTTTCAAAGTCCTCAAGTTCTTGGACAAGTATGAAAATGATAATATGCGGCTCCTACCTCTTGCACATGTTGATCAACTACTTCTCATGATTAAAAGATAGGTACATAGCTAAATTCTCTACAGTCATGTTCATGGTAAACAAAGCTTCTTTACAGACTATGATCTTTATTATGTTGGTGCAACCTCGGTTGAAATATCTTAAAGTACACCAAATGCAAAAAGTTGTATTAGAACAGAAACTTTTCAGAGAAAATTTGCTTCAATTTCCAAATGCATAAGGCCATTTTCTTTCTTGACGTGGAAGATTCGTGCAAATTTTTGTTGTGTATTCTTTTAATTTCTACTCAGTTGTACTTCACAAATATAGAGCTTGTAAGTAACATAGTGTTCCCATATCTCCAATCCACTAAATAATCTGTTTAGAATTTTTAGCAGATGCAGTTCATTATCACCTTTTCAGGTTCAAGAAAAAGAAAAGAATGCCTAAATTTGTCTTTCGTAATTAGGGACTAATACTGTACTTCTGAGCAAAGTTGAAAATTTTTGATCTACTTCTAGTCAGCAAAAAGCTCTCTCAACTTGATTCTTGGTCAAGCAGTTTATCACTTGTTGGTAATAAAATATGTACATGCAAAATATTCACAAACAGAGCAGTCTTTTTAGTATGTATATTTTGGATATATTCCTCTTAAGGTTTTTTGGCACAATGATGACAAACCTGTTAACACTTCCAGGCCATCCCAGAAAGCTTATAACATTTTGCTCGATGCATTTGCAATCTCGGGAATGATTGAACAAGCTCGCATTGTCTTCAAAAGCATGCGAAGAGACAGGTGACATTTTCTCTGCTAAGCAATATCTGTGAAATTTTCTCGGTGTAATTCTTCTAAATGCTCAGTGAACTTTTATTTCTATAAAGAGCTAGAGAATGAGCTCCTAGTTTTTCTGTGATCTTTGTGATCACTGATCACAGTGCATGCAATATTGTCTAAGATAAATCAACTTCCCTTTGAAGTTTGTTGGTGGCTAGAGGTAACAGGGATCATGAGTGAAAGCCTGAGAATAGAGTTGTAGAAGTCCACTAATTGAGAAATACATCAAATGTGATCATTATTAGAACTCTTAGTTAGCTTCATCTTTGAGTTCATAGATCATTTATGATCGTACTTTATAATTGCCAACTGCTATTCGTAATTGTTATGACATCAGGATTGTACACAATTGTGTTAACCTTGCTTACAGTTAATCTCCATTGGGTACTTGCTGATGAAATTAATGTTGACTTATGGTAAAAATGTGCTAATTGTTGGAGAAATCATCCTTAGAATTGGAGTAGAAAAGATTAAATGGATAAGTATATTTGGATAACATTGGATAGATATGTATTTACAGTCTGTTGGTGTTGTACAACCCAAAAAGTCAGGACATAAAACATTTACAAATTTTGGCAGAATATAAATAAATTCATGACAGTCTATTTGTGGGAGATGTTGATGGGTCATTCTTAAGGCAGTAAGGCCCTGATTCCAATTATGACCAGAATCAAAAATTAAAGAAAAAGAAAAATAATTACACACCTCAGTGTCCATCTCTCTTGCCTGGTTTCTTCTTTGGAGAAATAATAGGAGCATAGGATGAGTCTGGAGGTATAAATTTGACGGTTCATAAGTTCCCGTAAACTATAACTTCATAACAGCAACCAGCCTTAACAGCTTGAAGAATGAATTTTCTTTTTTTTTTTTCATAAAGAATCTTATAAGCTCCATGGCAATGATCCAGCACAGAAGTTGACCTATAGTCAGGAAAAGAAAAACTTAGCCAAATATCCTCACCCTTGACATACATACATCCATGCATGCATACTAATCATCTTTTTCTGTAGTTCAAACCATGCACTGGCATTATAAACCCTTTGAAGTCTGCATGTATTGCTAGCAAAGCCTTTATCTGCTGGCCAAAACTAAACAAGGTTGAGATCCTTGAGGCCTTGGGAGTAGTTCCTTGGTTGAAGTTTCATAAGATCTTTATCCTGCTAGGGTGTAGGCTGTTTATTTTTGGTGTTTACTTTGTCATTGTAGAAAGAAAAGGATGATAGTATCTGTACGGCAGCTACAGAAATTCTGTTCTGATGAAAACTGGGCTATGTTCTAGTAAAAGTTGCTATTTCTAACCAAAAAAAAAAAGGACTTCATGTGGATTTTGTTCTTTTATGCAATGTTTTTTAATAATGGGTATAGCATTGTAAATTAATGTTTTTAATATTGCAAGAGTTGTTTGAAAGTGTTGAATTTGGAGATAATTTGGATATGAACGGAATTGTACGTTCTGATGACTAGGTTTATCAAAATCAAATCTGAGATTCTAATTGCTTTGCATGGTTTTCTACATGAATGAGGCTTACACTTTTTAAAGATTGGTTTGAGTGTTTCTTATATGACTAGCTTTTCATATCTGACCTTTTAGTTTGAGAAATAAAGATATGAAGGTGCGACTTAGGTACCCCATTAAATAAATAGGACAATTACTTTTATGAAATAATCGCCCAACATCATTACTCATTGCGATGAAAACATGCTTAGCTACAACCTAATGTTTCATCGACTCTTACTTCCCAAGCATATTTTCCTTGGCGACTTGGAATTGCAAATGATTTACAGTATGTAGGCGAAACCCATTTGAGTTGTTGTTCAACCATGTATACTGCAGTAATACATTTTTTATTTGTAACTGGACCACTGAATCTATGTATTCACGTAATGGAGGCCAACGAACTTAGAATATGTTCCTCTACCCCATATGCAGCAAAAACAAATTGAGATAACGTGTTTGTGTTTTAGGTGTACACCGGATCTTTGCTCCTACACAACAATGTTGTCAGCCTATGTCAATGTATCTGATATGGAGGGTGCTGAGAAATTCTTTAAAAGGATAAAGCAAGATGGATTCCAACCCAATATTGTCACTTATGGAACTCTGATAAAAGGATATGCCAAAGTAAATGATCTTGATAAGATGATGGAGAAGTACAAGGAAATGCGTCTGTGTGGTATCAGACCAAATCAGACTGTGTTCACTACCATTATGGATGCACATGGCAAGAATGTGGGTTTTGACAGTGCTGTAATCTGGTACAATGAGATGGGATCTACTGGAGTGATCCCTGATCAAAAATCAAAGAATATCCTTCTGTCTTTGGCAAAGTCTGCAGAAGAAAAAGCAGAAGCTTATGAGCTAATAGGATATGCAGATGAACAGAAGAAAAATGTTATCGTCCATGCTGATAATGATAATCGTGATAATGTTGACGAGGACTTTGATGATGCTGCTGAACAAAGCTGTTTAATTGACACAAAAGAAGAATTGGTACTTAGATGATTATGGTTATCGAACCAAACAAGAGATTTTTCAAGTCAGTTTTGAATCCTTTGTTTGTATACCGTCCTCAATTGAGACTGCAAATTCAGTCAACAGCTTTTGAAAATGAATTTGCTGGGATTGGTTAGATACTCTTACAAGTTGTATAGAATCTCAGAACCACCTGATTCCGGCAAAATCAGTGGATTGATGCTCCCAGAGGAGATTTTGTACATTACATTTTCTCTGATTAGTATTGTTTTAGCGAAAGGTGCTCCAAGTTCACTTTACGAGTTTCATCCAGTCACAGCTTTCATCCATTCACTGAGTATGCCTTCAATAATCTGCATACTCAGTGTCATTCACCTATTATTTCTCATGCTTGTGTTGTTATATTTAGCATGCTATGAAACCAGTCCATGTTTCCACCAGAAGGTAAGAGGGAACACCATTAACATTTCATTCCTACAAGGTTATAGGTGGGGGTTGCATCATGTAAACCATTTCAAGTGATGTATTTGTTAAACCAACTTGCCCTATTGGAGTTGGTCTCCACATAAAGCATAGAATGCAGTTTTAGCTGCAGGTTTAGAGGTGGTTTTCTCTCCTTTTGTCCCTCCCTAGTATAGATTAGAGTAGGTGTACTATTTAGGTACTGCTGATTTGCCCAAAAAAAATTATTCCATTTGTATGTTACATTAGTACCGGACAAAAGAAAATTTACATAGATGGTCTTACTATCATATACATCTAAGGTCACAAAAGAGTACCATATTTCATCTCATTCTTTTATTTGTTTGGCCAACAGGTATCCAATGAACACTCGTTAAGAGAAGGTTCAGGTGTTAGTTTTTTTTTATTTTTAAAGTACGGAATCAATAAATATGAACGTATGTATTTACATGGTAACTTAAATGTTATGTGAGGGGGAAAAAAAGTACTGCATGACCTCTATTAGCTTTTTATTGTATTGAGGATCGAAATCACAATCTTTTTTTCCTTTTTAGTATAATCTCAATTACTGCTAATTATGAAATTGTCGGGGCATGAGGGTTCTGTCTTTTGTACGTTCAGTTGTTGAGATCCAAAAGTTGCATTTTCGTACATAGGTTTACCAGAAGCAAGTGAAAAACCTTGCCCAAACAATCACCACTGTTCTGGACACATTCTCAGAAGAGTGTGAAATTTTATTCCTGTTACTGGACTTTAGTAGACAAACAATTAAATGTTTCGTGTCCACTGTAATGGATGCTCATGCCTCAGCCGCCCTACACTTTAATAGCATCATTGATAACTATTGAGACAATTAGTGAATCAACAGAAATAAGATTGGTTCAGAAGCTTGGGATGGTGTTCATAATTTTACACATTCATTTTAAGGTGTTCATAGCAATCAATTGATACTTTACAACACAATACATTAATGCACTCAGAGTTTAGTTACCAATATATCAAACAGTTTTGGAACTTATATCCAAAATTTTTGTGTCAAGCATATCTCTTTTCATTTCTTTTTCTTTTTTTTTTCTTTAAAATGCCATGCAAGCTAGTGAGTGCAAGGCATCTACCCCTTGTGGATTGTTGGCGATGATCAAGTTGATGTATACCCATTGATCAATTAAGTTTCATTTTTAAGAGAATCATGGTTATATTTATGTAATAGTTCTAAGGTTCTTTTGGAGGAGACCAATAATAATAAAAAAAAAAGAATAGAGTATACTCTGAGACTCTTTCGCACCAAAAAAAAAAAAAAAAGTGTTCATTAATTCTGTTTGGATTGAGGATTATTTTAACAAAATTTGTATATTGATTAATGTAGTGTTTTAACACTTTTTGTGATATTTTGTATGTAAAATAACGAGGTACTGAAAAAATGATTGAAAAAAGTGTCTCTCATATATATAGAGGGGGTGTGTGTGTGTGTGTCTTTTTTTTTTTTTGGATTCCTATGTTATGGATTTGGTTGAAAAATGTGTTTGCAAAATAATACATAAAAATTTTTCAAGAACAGTCCTCTTCATCATTCTCTATTTTCCTAATAGCATTAAATCTCAATTATTGAAAATTATATGGACGTCACAAATCAAATGCATAGATGAGCACATGCTCAATTTTCCAGGGGCGGGTGAGAATGCACTGCGCTTAGTAGGCGAGTTGTCCATGCGTCGTCACTCGTCAGTGGCTAAAAAGTGGGCTACACTAATAACTCTGCAATAATTTCTGATCAATAGGTTATCCTAACTCCGCCACCTTGTTAAAAGGATCTTAAACAAAGCAAAATTAAGGCCATGTTTGATGACCCCATTTATCACTTAAACTTAATGGATTTCAAATCTTAATATGTTCAGATGCGTTTGATACCAAAAAATTGAACAAATGAATTGATTAAATGGCAATGACTTTTCTAAGCAAAATTTTCTTCCAAAAATAAGTGATAACCTATTCACTTTTTACTTAATGTGATATACAATCAAATGTATCAAATTCAATATTTAATATTTCAATAATTTAATGGATTCAAATTTCAGATTTTAGACTTCAATTTTGGATTTTAGTTTTATCAAACGAGTCCTAAGTACCTCACATGCTATCCTATGTCAATCTATCATCTGACAAATTATTTTCTTAGAACAAATGATATTAGCACTCCTAAAAAGTGTGGATTAATCTTCCTTCTATGCATTAGAGGTGGAAAAAATTATCCGCTAACTTGAAAACCCTCCATATCCAATCCGAAAATTAGGATATCCGATCTGTATTATTTGATCGGGTCAAAAGAGGGTCTGGTATCCGTTAAGATGTGGGGCCGGTTAGGATCACATAATAAAAAACCTGTGGATACCTGACTCGCCCATCATATATATATTTTTTATTTTTTATTTTTATACACATATTATAAAATAATATTTTTAGAGTTAAATAAGTAATTTCATTGAACAAATTGCATTATAAATATGAGAGACTATAGTTTATTTATAAGATTCATTTGTAGAGATCATAATATTATGTTTTATAGAAAAGATTTTAATAAAAGGAGAACATATATTTAAGAAAATGTGCTACTTATTTCAAACTTTTATTGATTTTGAATTCTTTTAATATTTTTTTTCCTTTTTCTTGTATTCTCTTCGCCTACTTGTTTCTTGGTGAGAGACTTTTTTTAAGAAAAAAATCTTTATTAAATCTTATATGAATGTGTAAAATATACAAAATTAAATTAATATAAATTATTTTTAAAAAATTAAATGACAAGTGGGGCGGGGGCAGATATCCGTTGATCTGACCCTATTTCAGCAAGTACTTTATAACCGGGGGTATCCACTGATATACGGGGCAGGTAAGGGTCAAAAAATGACTGATCCGCAAGGTATGAGTCGGGTCAGCCAAATGGTGAACGGCGAGTATCCACCCGCGTCCATCCCTACTATGCATTGACAGTGTATCTACTGTCATGTTTGGATGAATGTCACATATGTTGAATTTGAATTTTAAATCCAAATTTCACCTATGTGACATTCATATGATAGTGTGTACACTGTTAGTATATACAAGATTTACGCAAAAAAATATTTGGTACTCTTCCATACTAAATTATTTGACCATAGTTTCCCGAGTTTAAGTAGCAGGCCAAAATAAAGTACGAATTTGTTCAATTCTTGTCAAAGTCATTGTATATGTGAACAAAATCATGAGTTTCTTGAAGAATCTCCACTGTAAGATACTTTCATGTGGGATTTTTGTTATTCTTCTCTTATCATTAATAACCAAGATGAAGGAAAGTACCAGCTTCCCCAGATTGAAAAATGACGATGTTCTTAACATCTTGGATAAATACGGCATTTCACCTCCCATAAAAGGTTTGCCCCGTGACAGATCAGAAGCAGCAGTCCACTACTATTACTATTATGGAGTGTTTCAACATCTGGCTCAAGAAGGATACCTTTCTACAACCTCAAAATCATTATGCATCCGAGGCACAAAATTGGATCAAGAAGTCAATGCATTGAAGAGTGTTGGTATTTCTGATGTTATCATGATTTCAGGTCAAAGTTTTGATCGATTTGGAAACAATACTTTTGATTTCGCATTTTTTGGTCCAAGAACTAGTCTGGATTTTGTGTTAGTTGACCAGCCTTTTGAAATTGCTTCTGAAGTTTGTAGGATTCTTAGATTTGGAGGGTACTTAGTTGTTCACATAGCAGTTAAAGATGAGTATAGTTTTAACTCTTTTCTTAGTTTATTCACCTGCTGTAGATTAACAACATTTAGAGACATTAAAGGCTTGAATTCGACCTCTTCTCTTCGTGAAGTAGTACTAAGAAAAAGTTTGGAAGATTCGATTTCGGATGATACTGCCCAAAGATGTGATAATATCACAGTTCCAGAGTACAAGCGGGATTTAATTGGCGATCTTGAGCCATTGGAAGAAAAAGAACCAATGGAAGACTGGACCGAACAGGGAAAGAACCGCGAGAGCATCAGGTTATTCAGGTATCTCCCTACCATGGTTGATTTAATTTACAAGAGGAGGTACATTTACATTGACTCGGGAGCTCGAACTTACGATTCAACGATTGGAAATTGGTTTAAGAAGCTGTATCCAAAGCAAAACAAAAACTTTGAAATCTTCGCAATTGAAGCAGACAAATCTTTTCATGAAGAGTACAAAAGGAAGAAGGATGTCACGCTTCTGCCATATGCAGCATGGATAAGGAATGAGACATTAGTCTTTGGGACAAGAAATAAAAAAAGGGAATATACAGGCAGGATTCAATCAGGACGGCCACAAGTTTTTCAGGACTACAAGGGGGAGCAAAATGTTGTACAAGCCTTTGATTTCGCAGATTGGTTGATAAGGTCATTTTCCAAGCAAGATTTTGTAGTCCTTAAAATGGATGTTGAAGGAACTGAAATGGATTTGATCCCAAGATTGGTGGAGAGTGGAGCAATTTGTTTGATTGATGAGTTGTTCTTGGAATGTCATTATGATCGTTGGGTGAAATGTTGTTCGGGTAAGAGGACTAAGAGGTACAACTCCACATATGATCAATGCTTTAATTTGTTCTCAAAACTCAGGCAGGCTGGTAGCCTTGTGCATCAATGGTGGTGAGCTGACAGATTTGAAGTTACAATTTGACCTAGACAGGCAATTTTTCAATCGAACAAACAATGCGATTTATTCTTTCATTGTCATGTATGTTCGAGATGTTTTGAGGTTGTAGTCTTGTATGAAACAGTCTTTCCATCCTCTACTTTGATTTAGTTTAGTTGTTACTCATTGTGCAATTTG